GTGCTGACCTGACTCCATCCAGGGCTGTGGCTACGGGGAGAAAGAGCTAGCACACACCTGGTGAGTGGGCACTTGCAGGAGAGCAAATCCCTTTAAAAATCAATCAAGAGAGATCAAGGGAAAATAGGGGAAAAAAAAAGAAGAGAAATCCAAGAAAATCAAGAAAATTATGAAAAGAAAGTCAACAAACTGGAAAAAGAGAATAAAAAACAAGGAATTGTAAACTAGAATTGGGCAAGGGATGTTATATAATACATATAATGATGTTATAAGACACCAAGAAATAAAACAAAAGCAAAAGAATGAAAAAATAGAAAAGAATGTGAAATATCTCATTAGAAGAACAATTGATCTGGAGAACAGATCAAGGAGAAACAATATAAGAAGTTGGGCTACCCGAAAGTTATGAGCAAAAAAAGAATCTTGATACAATATTACAAGAAATTATTGAGGAAAATTGCTCTGAAGTTCTAAAACAAGAAGGTAAAGCAGAAGTAAGAAAAAAAAAAACCCACTGATCATCACCTGAAAGAGATCTCAGGAGGAAAATTTGCAGGAATATCATAGCCAAGTTTCAAAGCTCCCAGGCTAAGGAGAAAATATTGTAACTAATGAGGATGGGATCTAGACCCCAAAAAGGAAACCCTAGACTTTCCCACATGGACAAATCTCTGGCATTCTCCTGAGGCTATAATTCCATTCCTCTCTATGGCCCTAGGCCACTTCCCACCCTTAATCCTATCTGGGCTCCATTCTCCCTTGGCCACCCCTGGAATTCTATTACCTCCCAGATTACTTGGCCACTCCTAGATCCCTCCCATAGTCTTTCTGTATATAAGGTCCATCTTGTTTCCATTAAGATGCTTAGATTCTTAAAATCTAGCCACTGGTCAAATTCTTACAATCTAGCCAATAGTTTACTAATGTTCAGACTCCTTAAGAGTCTGCCCAATATGACGCATGTTCTAATAAACCTTGTCTTTGGCTGAAAGAAGGCTTGGGTTGAATTCTTTTGGGCAGGACCTGCATGTTGTGATTTTGGGGTCCCAGGACCCCTGAACCGCTAAACTGCATAATAAGCAACAAGGGAAAAAACCCAATTTAAATATTGCAGAACTACAATTAGGATTACACAAGATCTAGCAGTTCTGCATTGAAGGACTGTAGGTCTTGGAATACTACATTGCATAGAGCAAAAGAGTTTGGGTTATGACCAAGGGTAACTTACCCAGCAAAGTTAAGTACAACCCTGAATGGGGGAAAAAAGGATATTTAACAAATTGAAAGACTTTCAGGTTTTGTGACAAAAAGAGTAGAATTTAATGGAAAATTTGACATATTTTTCCATAAGAAATATGAGGTAAACATTAAAGACCAATTATAAGGAACTCAATAAGGTCAAACTGTTTACTTCTTATATTCAAAAATGTTAGCAATACTCATTTCTGTCATTATTATTTAGGTAGTTTGAAAGAAAGGCTTGGGCTGAGCTGTGTAGAATGAGGGTGATTCTAAAAATTAAAACTGCTTTGGGAGAGATGAAAAAGAGTAATTATCTCATGTAAATGAGGCATGAAAGGAAGAATTGATACAGAAGAAGTTAGTGGGGGTGAAGGGCTGGTAGTGCTGGAACCCTACTTTCATTGGGACAGGTTAAAGAGGGAATAACATATCTAGAAGGGTATAAAAATCTTCTAAATTTAGAAAGAAAAAAGAGGCTGAGGGGATAGGATAAGGGAGTGACTTTTAGAAGGATGTATAGATTAAGAATTAGGTAGGGGGAGGGGATAAGGGAGAAATTCTTAGAAAAATAGGTGGATAGAAGGAGAAGGTGGAGGGTATGGGAGAGGATAAGGGAGGGACTCTTAGAGGGGTGGGTAGATATAGGAGGGCAAGATAGCCTGTAGAAGTGTTGTTTCTCCTTCATTCTCAAAAGAGGACCATGACATCAGGAAGGTGATGACTTGCAAGTGAATTGGATCTAAGTGACGAAGGCTGTGCAAAGTCACCATGTATGTGTATGTATATATATGTTTTATATATTATACATGTATGTATATATATTCACGTTAAATTGTAGCCTTCTCCAGGACAGGGGAGACAGGAGGGAGGAAAAAAAATAAAAAGTGCACAGTGGAGAACAAAAGAAAACCTAGAACAAAGCACAGAAAAGCAGTTTTCTTGAAATGGAAATTTATTGTTTGATATTGAATCCTCTCTTATGTTCTGCTGTGTAGATGGAAAGGTTTTTTTTTTTCCTTTTCTCATTTTGTACTTAAGTTTAAAATGAATAAAAAAAATAAAAATAAAAAAGATTCCATCAGTTCTTTCTCTGGAGGTGGATAGCATTTTTCATCATAGATCCTTCAGAATTGTTTTGGATCTTTGTATTGCTGAGAATAGCTAAGTCATTCATAGTAGATCACCATGTTGGCTGGAGGGCAGTGCTGATTGGTGAAGACCTGCTGGACCACCAACTGGATGGCCTCCAGCTGGACAGAGAGGATACCTTGTCTTGGACACCAGTATAAGATGCTTCACTAGGACCTCTAAGAGGGGGCTGATGTTTATTATTTTTTTTTAAATATTGATTAGTAAAGTTTGGTTACATGCATTGAGAAGTTCAATTGCTGTTTCTATCCTGCTAGTTAGCATATAAATCAACTCTAAGTTTGTACTGTGGGTGTGATGTATTTAGAATTTCCCAGGAATCCTAGTCAACCTCACTGGCTGCCATTTCCAGGGCTAAGGCCATTCTCTTGGACAAAGAAAACAGAAACAGGCCAGGAATGAAGCAGCTCTGCTTTCTCTTAGTGGTTAAGTATTTACCACCTGCCCCCCAACTTTCCCCCTCTCCCCCCCCCGCCAACCCATCCTCTCCTTTCTTTGATTATTTTCTTTTCCCTAGTATAGCTTAGAAACTTCTTGACTGGATCAATTTACCAGAGCAACTTGGCACCTTTTCTGCACCTTCCAGTCTGAAGAGTCAGCTGGGGGCAGAGAGGTTAGGTGCCTTGCCCAGGGTTAGTCACTGGTTGTTAAGAGGCAGAACTTGAACATAGGTCTTGCTGGCTCCAGCCCAGCTCTATATACCAGGCCGTGCTGCTTCTTTACTGTATAGTTTTGGTTTTTTAAACAATTACTGTTTTTCTTCCTTGCCAGTGCTCTTGCCATGCCCTCTGTGCCCACGTGATGAGAACATTCCTTTCTGATTTCTACCATAGAATACCTGTGTTTCTTCAAGGCTCAGTTCAGGGGCCATTCCCCTGATCCCCAACTTAATACTCTTTCCCTCTTCAAATTAACCTGTACTTATCTGCATTAACACCTCCCTCCCTTGTCCCCCCCCCCCCCCCCCCCCGATTCCTTGAAAGCAAGGGACAATTTGGTGGTGGTCCTCATGTCTCTAGTACCTTGCTCCATGTTGGCTGGCTTGGTTAGGCCATGTGGCCAGTGGAGGGTGTCAGAGGGACAGGGTCTAAATCCTGCCTCTGCCGCTACCTGGGGTGCTTGGGCCAAGTCAAGCCTCTAAGAACAAGGGAGCTAGCCCAGCTGGGCTCTGAGATTCTTTCCAGGTCTTGGTCTTTTATCCCTCTTCCTCCCCCCCAAAACTAGTTCCTTTTGCCACCTTATTACACTATGCATGCATGCAGCACCCACACGTAGTAAGTATGCAGTATAAACTTACTGAACTTGAGTGGCCAGGGAGGATGTGGTACCCCAAGAAAGAGGCAAAATGCCCACCGCCCATGACCAGAGGGGTTCAGTACCTGTTTCCTAAGATAACCAGTAAGAGCCATCTAACTGGAAACTTTGATTAGCCTACTCCCATGAGTGTGACCTTGGCTAAACTGCCATCCTCCAAAGGGTGGTTGCAGAACTTTGACAACACAAACCCCAGCTAAATAGTCTGCCCTTAATGATCCAACCATTCTGGAGAGCAATTTGGAACTATGCCCAAAGGGCTATAAAAATGTGCATACCCTTTGACCCAGCAATAGCACTTCTAGGGCTGTATCCCAAAGAGATCATAAAAATGGGAAAAGGACCCACATGTACAAAAATAAAAAAATTAAAAAAAAAAGGCAGCTCTTTCTGTGGTGGCAAAGAATCGGAAATTGGAAACTAAACAAATTGTGGTATATGAATATAATGGAATACTATTGTGCTATAAGAAATGATGAGCAAGCAGACTTCAGAAAAACTTGGAAAGACTTGTATGGACTGATGCTAAGTGAAGTGAGCTGAACCAGGAGAGTGTTGTACACACTAACAGCCACGTTGTGCAATGACTAACTTTGATAGACTTAGCCCTTCTCAGCAATGCAAGGATCTAAGACATCTCCAAAGGTCTCATGATGGAAAATGCTATCCACATCCAAAGAAAGAACCATGGGGTTTGAATGCAGATCAAGGCATACTATTTGCTCTTTTTTTTCCTTCTGTTTTGCTTTTTTTTCCCCCTCTTTCTTGTGATTCCTCCTATTGGTTCTAATTCTTCCTTACAATATCACTAATGTGAAAATATATTTAATAGGAATGCATATGTATAGCATATATCAGATTGCATGCTATATTGGGGAGGGAGCGGGAGAGGAAGGGGGAGAAAAATTTAAAACTCAAAAGCTTATGGAAGTGATTGTTGATAAATCAAAATAAATTAATAAAAATAAAAAATAAATATTCTTCCCTTTAACAGGCAGGGCAGGTGAAGGTGCAATTAGACAAGGAAATGACAAAATAGCTTACTTTCGACAGAATTTTAGTTACAAAACACTTGCTGTGACCTCAGGCAGCAACTCCCTGGGCCTCAGCTCTCCCCTATATAAAGGAATGGGACTCATTGATCTGAAGGGCCCAGACCACTCTGACACTGTGAGGTTATGATTTGAAGCTCTGCAGAAGACTCCAAGCCCACTCCCACCACCTCCACCCCACAGCCCCCCAACTTCATCTCTCTTACCACATTCCCAGAACATAAAGAGACTGGAGTGGCAGAAGTAGGTAGAATCATGGCACAGACATAGACTTTATTGTTAAAAATCTATTAAAAAATCACACAAGCATAAAAGAGAAGACAGTGGGGAGAGAGAGATAGGCTATCACAGCCTTGGGGTGGGCAGGTAGAGGAGTAATGTTTCCTCCTCTGGACCAGACAACAACTCCTTGAGATGAAAAGGAATGTGACTCTGCTCCCAGTCCCCATTATATGCAAGTTTGGCTCCTGCTCTCCCTAGACGCCAGTGGGACTGAGGCCCTGAGACAGTCTCCCTGCCCTTAGCTTGCTTTGCCTCGACCAAACCTTGGCCACAGGGGAAAGAGGGAAGAGTGAAAGTTTTCTGGGAGTAACTAGAACCAGTCTGCCTCTCCCTTATATGTGAGAATATATACTTTAATATTTCAAGATTATTCCATGATTTTATGTATGCGCAAAGGTATTCCCACCAACACAGATCACAATCCCAGTAGACAATCATTATGACTGTTAAGGATCCTCACAAATCTAACCTCTAAGTCTTTCTTAGGTCCTGTGACCTCTTGATTACCTATCCCAGTACTCCCCAGTCTTCACTATTTGCCAGCAGAGCAAAATGCAAAGCAGACTCTCAGATAAAAAGTGGAAAGGTAACAATTTTCCCAGCCTCATCTCATCCAGACTACAGGAACTCCAAAGAAGGTTCCATTAGCACATAAGAGTGTTCCAGTTAAAATGGGAGCTTTGAGCAGGCTTCTCAAGGGAATACGGAGGCAACCATAATATATCCTCATGGGCAGCTAAATGCTGCCCAATAGAGCCAAAAGCAAAGCAGACATTTCTGAGCCCAGGGACATCCTGACCGTGACACTCTCTCTGCTCCCTGCGTGAACGCCCCCCCCCCCCACACCCCCATCACAGTGAGCCTCATAACTGTCCCATTCCTTCCAGGCCACCATTTCATTGATTTGCACCAGAGACCACAGAAAAAGTTTTGGCATACGGTAAGAGGGACTGCTGCTCTATCTAGAAAAACAGAAGGAAGGGAACTCCCACTGGGGAGCCCAGAAAAGGATGATCCAGAGTGAAACCTATGGTCTAAAAAGCATAAAACCAAACCCTTTACCGACACTTGCTAGTTGACTTTCCTCTCCCACCCCCAATATACACTCCCCCATGCACTGGCCAGGGTGAGATACTGGTGTCTGGAAGGGAAGCAGCCCATTCCTGGCTCCCCATGCACACAGTTCAACTCTTTATCCAAGGTGCCAGATGCCCTGAGCTGCCACCAGGAGAGTGGGACTGGGGAGAACTAGGGGGTGCTCTCAGATCTTGAGGCAGGAACATGGAACCTTCTCCAGAAGAGCATCGAAGGAAGACAAGCAGCAGGCCATCCTGGCAGGATGGCATGGAGTGGGAGAGCCTTTAGCAGGGCAGGAGCTTCCTCAGTAATCAGCTCAGGGCCATGGGAGCCCCCAGGCTACCTCAGAGGTTGGAAGTGGTTGTGGAGTAATTCTGCCTGTGCCTTCAGGCTCTGAAACTCATCCTGGATAAAGTCTGTCAGGGCTTTGCGCATCTCCACCTGAGAGAAGAGACAGAGATGTGGAGCTTACCCAATGTTATTTTTCTTATCCATTGTTATTTTCTAGGGGAAGATGGGAGGTGGTAAAAACCATGCTGAGGAGTGGGAAGAGGAAGAGTGAGAAGGGAAGGGACAAGGCAACATGCAAAGCTTTTCACAAATATGATCTGGTTTGGTTGGGTAGGTATGCGTTTGTGTGCACATGATTCTAGGGTGTCATGCCACTAATGGTCAGGGTCTGGATGTCTTGACCCTGACTGGGGAAGGGGGCATGGAGACCCAGACAGCTGGTCTGGTAGGAGAGCCCCACCTCCTCTCCCCTGGAGCTCACAGCCAGATCCCACACAAGACTAAAAGTATTTCTTTGCTTCTCTCACTCCAGACCCTTGTCCTTCTCAAGGAATAGCCCAGGGGTCCCCTGGAGGATGTCCAACTCTCTCAAACCCAACTGCACTCTCCAGCTAACTCACTGCTGACTTATTCTCAGCTCGGAGACGTTCAAGAACAGGCAGGGCGCTGAATGGCTTCCCAATGAGCACGGTGATTTTCTGGGAGGTAGAGGGAGAGGATGTCAGAGGGGTGTGAAAAGAGCCAACCAACCACTTCAAATCCTGATCCAGAGGGACCCACCTCCCCACTCAACTTGGGGCTGAAGAAATGGAGATAGTGAGGCAGGGAATCTCCAAAGGCTTAGAAGCTAAGGCTGAGGAAAGGCTAGTATGAGCCTGGGAATCAAGAGGTAGGGTTCTAATTCCGGTTTTGTCACTAACTCTGTGTGTGACTTTTGGTATGCCCCCTTCCCCAAACTGGGCCTCAGTTTATTCATCTGTAAAATGAGGGGGTGAGACTAGGCCTCTTTCTAGCTCTAACATTCTACGTTATAAGTGTCCTAACATCCCCAATCCTTGTCCCTTATGGCCCACCTCCCCTACCCACCAGTGTCCAACATTAGCCTTAAGGGCCCATGTGTCCCAACACTGCCACTACCAGGAAGTCCTTAGATGTGGACATCCTAAGTCACTCATGCTGGAGCCTAAGTTCCTCTATCTGTAACCCTTCATGCTCCTAGTGCCTGGAGAGGCAGCACAATGTTGTGAATAGAGTACTGGACTTGAAGTCAGGAAGACAGCAGGTGAAATCCTGCCCTACAATCTGGGCGCCACCAGACAGAAAGATCTCAGAGGGTCCATGAACTTGGGTGGGGAAAAAAATGACATCTTTCTTTTCACTAATCTTTGCTTTTCTTTGTAATCTTACGCATTTTATTTTGTGTATTTAAACACATTATGAGGAGTCTATAAGCTCTACTATATAATAATTATTATTATAGTAGCTAACATTTATATAGTGCTTACTATGTGCCAGCTACAGTGCTAAACACTTTATAATTATTATCTCATTTAATCCTCACAACAACACCAGAAGGTAGGTGCAATCATTATCTCCATTTTACGGATGAGGAAACTGAGGCAGACAGCAGTGAAGTGGCTTGCTCAGAATCACACAGCTAGCAAGCATTTCAGGGTGGATTTGAACTCAAGTCTTCTTGACTCCAGGCCCAGAACTCTGTGCGCTGTGGTGCCCCCTAATTGGCCAAAAGAGTCCATTATGTAAAAAAAGGTTAAGAACCCTGACTGGTGTGAATTTTTCTCCCCACTCTCCCTATCCCCTGTGCTGAGAACAACTCCATTCAGCTCCTGAGGGCTCCCTTCCCAGTTCTCTGTCCACTTAGAAGGCCAACTTTTTGTGTAAATCTTGAAACACCACCTGAAAAGCAGCTATTCTGGAGAGGAAGCACAGCTTGGTGGACAGAGTAGCCTTAGAGTCAGGAAGAGCTTAGCAACATAGTAGGTGTGTGACCCTGGACAAGTCACCTCACCTCAGTGCCTTCAACACTTTAAGTTACAGAGAGGTTGCTGTACTGGTGGAGGGAGTTTCCACACCAGGAATTCCCTAAAGGTCCAGACCAAAGTGAGGATGGGGGAGGAAGAATCATTATCATAAGAAATCTAGTCTAACCTCATTTGATGGAGCAGAAAACAGCCACAGAAGGGGCTTCTTAAGACACCACTGGCAACTCCTTCCTGCCCCCTTTCCCTCCATACAAAGGAGTCAGGAATGGAATTGCCCTGTGGTGGCCAAGCCTGGGGGAGGCAGGGGGAGAAAGAGAACCAGAGATTGGTTGGCTCCCACTCACCTGTCCAAATCTGGGGAAATAGGGTGGAGCGTTGGGAAGCACATCACTCATTCCTACACAACAGGCGTGAAGGCCAATGGAAAACAAGGCAGATGGTCAAACAGGAGGGAAGGGAGGGATCCTAGACACCTCCACTCCCATTCTCTCCCAGTTCTTGGACTCTAGTAAACCAAGGAATAGCCTTATTCTTCCTGTCTCCCACTGCCTTCTGAACACCACAAATGCCAGGAAACTCACCACCAGGCTCCCTCCCCAGAAAGCTCACCAATGTGCCAGAGTGGAAGGATGATGGGGTTGAGGTGACACTCAGCAATCAGGCGCCCTATTCCTGCCAGGAAAGAATGGAGCAGGTGAGGTAGAGGTCATACCCCCAATAAGCCTAACAGAAGGAGCCCACCTTTAAGTCACTCCTAATGCCCACTGAACTGGAAAGGTCTGGGGAAGTTAGAAGGGAGAAATGTGGGGCCAGAGGAAATGGCTGAGGTTTGCTCCCCTGAGGTTGGCAAGGATCATCCTCCTCAGTAGTCTGGGTCACCCCCCAACTTACCCCACTTAAAACGAAGAAATTCCTGGCTCATGTTCACTTTTCCTGAAGAAAGAAAAGGAGGTGAGCAGCTGAAGGAGGCCTCCCCTCACACGAGACCCAATGAGGCCTGCCAGAGGCACTAGGGGGAGAGGAGTGGGGCATGATGGTATAGGACAGGGACTTCAATTCTTTCCCCCTACCCCAAGGGGAACCTGCCAACCCTTCCTCCTGCTGGCTGCTCCATAACCATTATTAGCTTCCTTTCCCACCTCCCCTCCCCCCACCCCCACCAACCTTCAGGGAAGATGTGGACCCAGTCCCCATTGTTGAGTTTCTCCAGGATAAAGTCCATCCCTTTCTGGTAGACGCCATCCCCTAGCAGAAAAAAGCCATCCCTGTCCCCAGCCCCTTACCATCAGGTTATAGTTAGGGTAAGGGAAGGAGAAGGGATGTCACAGGGAGAAGAGACCCTAGCCTTGCTCTTGGCAACACACAGTCTGGAAGAGGTGGGACTTCTTAGTGAGTGCCTGCTCTCTGTTTAGGGTTAGGGGGTTGTCTGGGGAGCAGGGGGGGATGGGAGTACTGACCGACACTTCTTTCTTCTCCTTTAACCCAAGGGGAGGCTCAGGGAAAGTGGCCCCAGTTACAGAAGTATCTTCTCTATCCTGTACCCGAGGACCACACTTACCCTTGAGGGGGCATTGGCTTATTAGTTTGGGGGATGGGGGTGGGGGGATGTCAAGGTAGCTCCCAGGCTGCAGGGTGGGGGCTCACCTCGGCATACAGGGACACACTTTCCCAAGCTGAAGAAATGAGAATGCAGCTCCTTGGTGAAACAGATATCTGCAGCTGCTGGGGTCCTGTAGGGCAGCAGGGTGGGTGCTGCTTTTTGCACAAGCCTGAAGACTTCAACTTCCCACACTCTCCCCCCATACCCCCAACTCCAATAATGCTGCTGGCAGCAGGGAAATTCTGAGGGAGAGGTCATACCTCCATCTCCTACACCCCTAAGAAAAATAGACACCTTCAAAATATGCCTGGGATGGGAGATGGGAACTAAAACTCATCTCCAGTTTAGGGGGCCATTCCTTCTACTAGGAAGCCCCACTTACCACCTCATCAGCCTCAGGTTCCAGATGTGGCGGAGTTTCAGGATCCCTGGGGGAAGACAGAAGTTAGCTAGGGAAGGCACTCAGGCCTCCTTCACCCCTACCACTGTGTCCATGCGTGATATCCCTGAGGGCCACCAAGTTCTCCCAGCAGCTCTAGCCCTCCAAGACTCACCAGCTCAAAGTTATACTGGGCAAGAGATGGTCAGTCTGCTCCTCCAACTTGCCATATCCAAAATCCAACCCATCTTCCCTCCAAACCTGCTTTATTTTCTCCTAAACTTTCCATTTGTGTCAAAGGCACCCTTGTTCTCCCAATCACCCAACCTGGAAACTGCCTAGTCATCTCTGAGTCTCTTTATTTCCAGTCTTTAGATTCTACACCTCCAGGATAGCTCTTAGATTAGAATCCCCTCTTCTCACTCCATCTACTCCGGGAACCTCCTAATCTTCTTGAAGCTAGCTCCTGCCTCTCTAATCTATTTTGCACAAACAGGACTCTGATTACATGCCTCCACTGCTCAAAAACCCTCAATGGCTCGCCATGGTCTACCAGACAAGTCAAAGGACTCAGCCAGGTATTTAAGGTTCTCCACAATCTCTCACCTACTCTTGTAACTTCATCTCCTAGTCCTACCCTATAAACACCTTCAGCTCCAGCTAACTGGCCTTACAGATGTACCAGGCCCATTCCTGCTGTTGCCTTTGCTCACTTATATCCTGGTTCAGGATCCTTTCTTCCTATACTTATTTAAACCCTACTCATCCATTGAGCCTAAAGTTCCACCTCCTTCAAGAAGTCTTCTTTGATCACCTCCATCAATGACAATCTCTCTCTGGCTGAGAAGATGGTATCACTGAAAGAGACTGGGATTTCTGGACCAGGGCTTAATGTGCATAACTCTTGACCAGCGAGAACTTTACCACTGAGCTAATGGTAAAGTTTAGATTAGATTTCATGTCTTCTCAATCAAAATCTAGGGAATGCCCAGAAACTACCCTGAATAAGTTGTCCCTACCCAAGAATATCAAAGGAGGAGGAATTCATCCAAAGCACTCACTAGTACCAGGTGGAGGGGACCCCTGATAGGTATTCACTCTCCACCCCCAATATTTCCAAAGCCAGACACATTACCTCCCTCACTCTGGACAACCTTCATTTCATTCAACAAACATGCCCCAAATATCTACTCTGTGGAAGGCCCTGTGCTCAGCTATGCTGGGATGAGAGCAAGGCCCTGCCTTCTGGGAGCTTAGAGTCTAGTGGAGGAGAATAAAAAAGCATACACATAAGAACTGTACAAAGCAATCCAAAACTTCCCATATACACTTGCTAAGTCAGATACTACAGAGAATATAATACTCTCAGAATACTACAGGGGTATGATATAGGAAGAATAACAGTGGGAAGGCTTAGTAATTCAGAGGCAGTATCCAAGAAAGACGTTAATGAAATTCAGTCTCAGACACGAAAACACAGTGAGTATTTAACAAAATGAGATCTTAACACAAGGTAATAAATTCAACCTCAGAGACTTTGCAGGAAGTGATTCATCATGTTTTATGTAAAACTACATGAGATAAAGTGGGGAGGAGGGGTGGATTGGCATTCTATACCAATATGATATACTCATGAAAAGGAACCCATGAAGTGGAAGGAAGGAACACAGTGGAAAACATCTGAGTGAGAAGCAATGAAATCTCCTGATCAGATGATGTCTGTGCTCAGTTCTGGATGGTCAGTTGTGGCAGCCACATTTTAAGGAGGGTGACCAGGGATCATGCCATGTGAGGGTTATTTGAAGACACTTAGGGATGTTTAACCTGGAGAAAGACTTGGGTGGGGGGGGGCAGGGCGGGGATGATGGTTGTCTTCAGGCATGTGAAGTGCTGCCCTATGGAAAAGGAATCAGACTTATGAGCTTTGCTCCCAGGGAGCAGAACCAGGAGCAATGAGCATAAACTGCAGGGGGCATTTAAGTCTGGTGTAGGGAATAACTGTCAGTGTTGTCCACCAGTGGAATGGGCTGATTAGGAACAAAGTGAGTTCTTCCTCACTGGAGGCCAGATGTCCATTTGATAAGACATTTCATCAGAGAGATTCTTAGTCAAGATACGGGTTAGACTTGGTGGCTTCTGAAGTTCCTTGTACCTCTCAGAATCAGTGATTTATATCCAAATCTGGACCCACACTGAAGCCCCAGGTGCAAACTTCCTAATAGGTGCCTGCTCCCCAAGCAGAACAAGGTGCCTCTCAGTAAAGGTCTGGTCTGGGGATGGTGTTTTGAGAAGATTCCTGTTCAGCTGCCAGTTGGCCTAGATGGCCCCCAAGGGTCCTTCCAACTCTGTGGCATCCAATTCTGATTCCTCTCAAGGACTGGGGCACCTACTGTCTCTATCCTTTGTTAACATTCTGGTACCAAGAGAAGGCAGGGCTAGGCAACCTTCTTGTATCCAGCAACCAGCACAGAGCCTCACTGACTGATAGTGACCAAAGCAATCCAAATAAAATTTATTAGGTACCCACAAAGGACAAGGCACTGGAGACAAGCTTTATGATAATGATAACATAATGCTTGCTTATTTAGCCAGAAATTAGGGGAAGGAACCAGAACACTCTCTGGTTCATCCAATATTCTGGTTATAGAAGGCATTACCAAACAAAGATGACTCATTTCCATAGAATCAAAATATAACCAAGAGAATGCTGAAAAACCAGACTGAGTGGCCTCTTTCTCTGATGAATCCAGGACCAAGCTCGAGCAAGATTGTGGAGTCATCATCAATTGGGATGGGCAAGCCCTTAAGGTTCTTTGAGCCTTCTAATGGGGAGGGGGTAGGGTGGGGAATCTGGATAAACTAAGTTTCTTGGAATGCTCTGGCATTAACCTAAGAGACAGCAAGTACTTTTCCATACCAGTCATATTCCCAGGTGATTTCTGACTCTGTACAGATACCAACACCTATTCATTGAAGTTATGCCAATAGAATAATTCCTTTCATGTATATGGGGCCTTTTCCTTGCCCAAAGGCTCTCATGGCAGTTGTTATCTTAATAGTCCTGGGAGGGAGACTGGGCAGGCCTTAATATCCCTATGTGACATATCAGGTGAGCTAAAATTACTGGTCCAATCACACTCTGAGCTAGTGGTAAAGTTTAGATTAGATCCCATGTCTTCTCAATCAAATTCTAGGGAATGCCCAGAAACTACCCTGAATAAGTTGTCCCTATCCCAAAATATCAAAGGAGAAGGAATTCATCCAAAGCACTCACTAGTACCAGGCGGAGGGGACCCCTGATAGGTATTCACTCTCCACCCCCAATATTTCCAAAGCCAGACACATTACCTCCCTCACTCTGGACAACCTTCATTTCATTCAACAAACATGCCCCAAATATCTACTCTGTGGAAGGCCCTGTGCTCAGCTATGTTGGGATGAGAGCAAGGCCCTGCCTTCTGGGAGCTTAGAGTCAAGTGGAGGAGAATAAAAAAGCATACACATAAGAACTGTACAAAGCAATCCAAAGCAGACCATATGACTAGGACCACCACAGGTGAGTTCAGGTGGGGACCAAGGCCTAAGGCTCTTTATTTCCCCCAAAGGCTCCTGCCTAACTCCTAAATGACAGCATCCTTGGCTGTATGCACTGGAGAGCCATCCCTCTTTCTCTACCATTGGAGTCCGACCTTTCCAAAGTACATACCCCAGAGGTGTGGGTCATCCATGCAGGACTGGTGATTGGAGACAGTGATTAGTGGTGTGCCAGGATCTCGATTCTCGATCAGTTCGTACAGCACCTCCTTGTTGTACACGTTAAGGCGGTTCATGTACTCTATTTTGAGAGAGGACAAAGACCCCCAGAGGGCTGGCCAGCTGGTACCATATCGGAGCAGCCAGCCAGAATACTCCTGCTACCTTTCTCCCTCTCACTCTGTATGTATGTGTGTATGTATATATATGTATGTGTGTGTGTACACACACACAGCCAACCCCCAATGTTTTCTCTCTTCATTCAATCTACTGGTTCCTCCTTGAAACTGCATGTCTCCAGGGAAGTAGAGACTTTCCTCCCCAATTAATTGGCTCAAACCCCTAGGTAAGATGCTGCTGCTTTCTCTAGCCTTCTTTCAAGATCCAGCTCTCAGAGCAAACCATACTCAAGCCAGGACTAATCCAGGATGGATTATGTCAACTCTCACTCATGGATGCAGCCACCTGGGACAAACAAAAGCTTGCCAATTACAGAGTCCCCCCTCCAAGGTTTAGTTCATCCCTTTTTTCTACTTTATTCCCTAGGAAAGTCCTCCTGGCCCTGGCCCTAGCCTTAGTCCAAATACACTCACTGGTCCAGAAGCAGCTGTAGGTACCCACAAGACCCATGACCACACTGCTGGCCAGAGTCCAAGACAGAGGAGGTACGGAGGGGAAAGGCCATTTCACATGCAGGGGCATCTTCCCATGTCCAATGTAGAGTTGGTTTCAGCTGCCTAATCAAGGTTCTGTCATCAGAGAGTAAGGAAGAATGGAAAAGGAATTCTTGAGCTTGGCCTTGGACAAGTACTCAGTGGACCACCATGGAGTGGCTCTAACTGAACAGAGCCTAACTAGGGTGAGGTAACCAACCAGAATTCTGACCAAGGGCATTAAAATTTAGAGGGTGCTGACAACAGTAACATTTCTTTAATGGAGTCTTAGCACCTAGTCAGTAAGAATAATTAATGAAATGGGTAGTTTGTAGGTAAGAAATGATTATTTGCCTCTGCTTTCTGATCTGGGTTTTTGTCAGTATAGGGATTTAGATGAGCCTCCTGACTAGAATTCTTCCTCTTAAGAGAACTGCCCCAGGCACAGAGGCCAGGCACTAGGTCAAAGTATAAGCAACAGGTATCAAGAGGAAAAACTTGAACCCAGGTCTTGCTCACTTTAAGGCCAGCTCTCCCAATCTTCCAAATCTTGGGGCTGATCTCCCTCCAACCCCACCTCCCACCCTCCACGACCGGAATTTAAATCTCTTTGGCTCACACACCTGGTTTCCCCTTAGTGGAGGGCAAATTCCTAGAGGTCAGGGATTGTCATTTCAGTCTTTGTGTGGCTGTCCCACACGGGGCTCGGGATGGGCACTCTACCTGGCCAGTGGGCACCGGCTACTGGGGCGCTAGGGCTTCCTCTGCCATTTTCACCATGAACTTCACGGCTGCCCTGGCAAGGGAGTAAGTAAGAGGGAAAGCGTCGGTCCGGGTCCGGCTCCTCCTTTTTCCTGGACAATTGCCTATTTATTCACTTTTGTTTGTTCCCGCCCCTCCCCCAAACCCCTCCCCCCCTTCACTCCCACCCCCGGTCGGAGGCGCGGCTCGAACACGCGCCTCTGGTCCTGCCCTCCGTGGGCTCTCCAGCACGCCGCCACTCATCTAGGCTCAGACCCGGGGACAGAGGGGGAAACTGAGGCCCAGGAAACTATTACATAAGGCAGTAGCGCCCAAGGTCAAACCACAAAAAACAGGGTTGGGGAGGGCGGCAGCGGGAACCTGGCCGCCCGGCGGGGGCCCATTTCCGCAGGCCACTTACCGTCTCGGCTGGCCCGAGGTGCTCAGACGTCCCAAGCAGGGCCAGAAAGAGGCTGCCCCCGCAGCTGCCGTACTGCCAGCGCCTCAGCCCACCCTCGCTTGCGCTGCCGTAAAGCAGCGCGGGCCTCGCCACCGCCGCACATACGTGTCGTAAACGGAGGCCTTGCTCTAGTGGCAACTGGCTAGGCTTTGCCGCCCCGGCCCTGGGTCTTTCAGATGGGGGGGGAAGCAAGAGGAGGCAGGAGGAAGGGCGGTGCCCCGCCCCCGACGCCCCGGTCCCTCCCCCGCTAGCAAAACACCACCCTCTCCCTTCCCAGGGCCCCGCCCCTGACTCCGCCTCGTCGCACCTGTAGAAGGTGGGATTTGAACTAGGAGTTGAAAGAAGCCCTGGGACAGAAATGAGGAAAGAGAGCATTCCAGGCAGGGTGCATGGACAGCCAGAGAAGAGACCCAATATCTTGTACAAGGAACAGCAATGAAGCCAGTGACACTGAATCACAGAATACAGGGGGATAGGTGTGGGTAGGGTTAAGTGTAAGGGGTAAGACTAGAAGGGATGGGGCAATTTATCAAAGACTTTGAATGCCAAATAGAGGATTCTCTGATTCTCAAGACAATAGGGAGCCAATGGAGTTTTTAAGGGGGTATCAATATGTATGCTGAAGTCCTCTAGTATGGGCAGGAATTGGGAAGGAGAGAAAGATTGTGAGCCAGATACTGAATTCATCGAGGAAGGAAAGGGGGTATCCTGGAGGTCCATAGATCATGTTATTGTCGTTCTCAAATACAAAGGAATAGATATTCAAATAATTCAAGACTATTCTTCATCTGCTAGAAAAAATAGGAGGGAATGAAATGTGGTCCAAAGAACAATGGAGCTTAGGATGCAGCCCAGGGTGACCTGTCCTGTAAATCTGAGTGTAGCCATATAGAACAAAAGATGGACATTCAATAATAAGGAAGATTTGAAACATTTTCAGCATGAAATCCAGAAGTGAAGAAATTATTTGCCTCTGGAACACCCCGAACAACAGAAATGTGATAGGAGTAAATTAAATGCAGATAGCAACAGCGACAGGATGACAGCAGAGACACCAGTAAAAAGCTTCTTTCTAAATTTACACAAGGAGACAGGAGTGAAGATGAAAGTCTGGTGAAGGTAACAGTGAAGGGGAGGGGAACATTATGGACAGAATCTGGAGCCACTCTGTTTCTTCTGTGAGACTACCTTAGAACATGGGAGTGTACATAAAGGGGATGAGGGAGAACATGTGGATAGAGAGGAGTGAGTGATGAACCAGGGTCAAATCAAGGGCTAGCAATGAGGGGAAGGTGACCTCTATGCTCTGGAGAAGAGAAAAACCTAGGTGAGGAGGAGGGAAAGATTGAAAATAGGAGAAAAGGAAGGAGGCCTTACTTTGGAGGTGGGAGTGGGTTCCACTGATGAATGCAACTATGGGTAAAGGGAGATGACAACTTTATACTGTAGGAGGTTTTGGTGCCTGAAAGGGAGTTTTGGTGCCTGAACAGTCTATTTGTCCTGGGAGCAGGGTTGGAATTCCTGGGGGCAAAGTTCACTTACCTTGTCAGTGTGTTTTCCAGGGATGATAATGAGGTTGACACACAAATTGCCAGAGCTAGCTCAGTGTTTGTGAGGCTCTAAAGGAAAGTATGGGAAAGAATTGGTATTAGACTGACTATCAAGCTGAAGGTCTACAGAGCCATTGTGCTGACCTCATTGTTGTATGCCATGCCAGGAAACTGAATCGCTTCCATTTGAATTATCTTAGGAAGATTCTGAAGATCACCTGGCAGGATGAGGTACCAGACACTGAGGTCCTTTCTCGAACTAAACTGCCAAGCATTCAAACTCTGCTTCAGACAGTGCAGCTCCGATGGGCTGGCCACATTGTTCAAATGTCAAACATACACTTGCCAAAAAGACTATTTTATGGACAACTCACACAGGGCAAGTGCTCACATGGTGGTCAGAAGAAGCAACACAAGGACACTCTCAAGGTCTCTTTTAAGAACTTTGAAATTGATTATGTGACATGGGAGACACTGGCACAGGATCACCCACATGGCGTGCCCT